CACACACACACGCGCACATAAGAGCACACACACACACACAAGAGCACACACACACACACACACATGCACGCACACAAGAGCACACACACGCACACGAGCACACACACGCACACACACACAAGAGCACATGCACACAAGAGCACACACACACACACGCACACACACACACGAGCACACACACACACACACGCACGCACACACACACACGCACACACGCGCACACACAAGCACACACACAAGAGCACACACACACACACACACGCACGCACACACACACACAGACACACACATGCACACGCACACAAGAGCACACACACAAAAATGATTGGAGAATGTTTTACAAGAAAACACCATTTCAGTCTGTCTACTTCGAAACCTCATGTTTAATTCACTGTTACTTGCCATTTCTTTGTAATTATTTGTGAAATTTACTCACAATTTCTGAGTGAAAAATGTTTGAAAATTAAAATGTTTTCCACCAATTTCTTCCAACCTTATACAATAGGGTTATTATCGTCAACTTAAACTAAAACTATTAAAAACACTTTTGTTTAAATTAAGCTTAAATAAAATAAACATAAATATTAGATAAAAAACTTAAAATAAACAACATTAGAACATTAGAAAGCAGAAGCACTAAAATGACTAATTAGAAAAAAGTAAAAACTTAAACTAAACAAAGAAATCAAACCTAAGTAATATTACAAAACAAATACATAAAAATGACAAAAGCACATTAAGTTACTGAAAAAGAACCTATTAATAAAAACTGAAATAATTCAAAATAACTATAAATGCATGTTAACTGCACCTGAACTTGAAACATTGAGTATTCTATCAACATGACTGAATATATTCTCAGCAGACACATGGTGCGTCCCAAATCGCATACTTATGCGTGTTGTAGTATAAATAGCGCGAGTAGTGCGTTCACACTGAAAAATCCAAAAATAAAAAGTGCACTTTAAAAATCCTGATGATGCACTTAAAATACCGAAAAAACCAAGTGTGGAATGTTGGACACTTCATGCACTCAACTGTCGCGAAGGGGGAGGGGCTATCAGACTACGATTATTAATGACAAAATAACCTTATAAAATTCTTTATAAATTCTTACTTCACTACATGGTTGAGTACATAGTGCGTAAGTGCATAGTGGGTCATTTGGGACACAGTTACACTGTATCCCACAATGCACTACGTTCCACATGAGCGATGAACGAAGCGGCAATGACAAAATTTGCAACGTTTTTAAACTAACCTTGATTAAACATGCAAATGAGGTGTCAGAGATGATAAATGGATGCAGTGCAATGAAGTCGTGTGGCTTACTGCTGCTGTACGGCTGTGTGCTTGCTTTACGAAGGGTGCAGTATGCAGTGCACTATCTAGTACTCACAGGTTGTCGGAATGGCTGTGTAGGGGCAGTGGGCGGAGCTTCCATGCTTCTCTGCCGTGACGTGGCAAAGCTCTTCCTGCGAGCACGAGCGTGCTCTGAAACACACAACACACAGAGAGAGATGATTATTCACTTAAGAGTCCACAGAAACACACACACACACACACACACACACACACACAC